TTAGTATCACACTTGCCTTTGCCCGCGATGATATCGAGATCAATTAGTGTCTCTTATTCAATTCGACACCATCACATTTTGTGAATTTGACCAACTTTTTGGTCATACCAGTATTTCACTTGTATTCCCATTGAGTTTTGTTCTCAAGTGGTCTTGTGACATCATACAAAAACTTTGAACACCATGCAAAGAGCTTCATTGACTAGCAATTCGAGCAGAAGCCACAGGAGATGAAGAATGTGTTGTCAAATGTTTTATGAACCAGTGATTATGGTATTAAACCAATGTTGTTATCATATGGTTTTCCTTTATTGATCCAAGATGAAGTTTGTCTTCTTCAACACCAAGCTTTGAAATGAGATATGACGAAGATTTCTTTCCACAGAAGTGAAGTGGAAATTTTAACAACAAGAAACTAGTGGAGCCAACTAAGGTTGAACGACAAGTTGTTGTTAAGCATCTCGACATGATATGGTCCAAGTTGCCTTATTCAAGATCTGATTATATGTGGAGACATGAAAGGAATTGGAATAAATCTTCCTTGTGATGTGTTTCAAGAGTTAAATTAGAACAGACTCTACTCCCCTATTTAATCCCCACTGAGTCAGACATATCTACATCTACACTCTTCAAAGATGATAGGTTCTCTTTTTAAAGATGATAGATTCTCTTTTCAAAGATGAAAGCTTTATGGGATTTATACACAAGTCCAAGCAAATAAAATTGGTTTTATCCAAGACAAAATGGGGCATCAGGGTCATAATTTTGACTACGACAAGAGTTCCATAAATGAAACATTTCTTCTAAGACTTAAATAAAGCAAACAAGGCACCAAGATATAAGTTGATCAGATGACTCTGCAGAAATGCAAGCTGGATAGCATAAGTTTCTAGACTGATATCCAGAGGTAACCCTGGCAATAAATGATGAAGTGAAGGAAGACCAAATTCACCACTTTGAAGTCAAATGAAGATCGCATCAACATTCATGCATTCATAAGAATATCATCTACACAATAGACAATGCATTACATTGATACATCTGAGTGCATTCAAACATGAAGTTTTACAGATCTTCAGAAGAACAAGAAGATTCATGGAAAAAATACCTTACAAGAAGAAGATATTCAAAACCTCAAATACAAGAATCACGCAAACATCTGAAGAATAGATGGACGCAATCCACAAGAATGAACATTATCTTGAGATTGGGTCATGTTACCCAATCAACATGTTATTTCAAAAAAATAATGAGAAAACAATTTCCATAGTTTCTCATTTTATCTTTTCTAAAATGAAATTGTTGAAAAGTAAGAAAACGATTTCCTTAGTTTTTTTACTTAGTAAACTATTTCCAACATCCTTATCTTAAGATTGGGGCATGTTACCCAATCAACATGTTATTTTGAAAAATAATGAGAAAACGATTTCCATAGTTTCTTATTCAATCTTTTCTAGAAATGAAATTGTTGAAAAGTAAGAAAACGATTTCCTTAGTTTTTTTACTTAGTAAACTATTTCCCATATCTGTAAGTCCTGCAGTGCATGATGTTTCCAAAAAGCCTTCAGGAGCTTTTTGATGTTTTCAAAACCTTATGGTCATCTGTAAGTCCTTCAGTGCATGATGTTTCCAAAAAGCCTTCGGGAGCTTTTTGATGTTTTCAAAGCCTTAGGGTCATCTGTAAGTCCTTCAGTGCATGATGTTTCCAAAAAGCCTTCGGGAGCTTTTTGATGTTTTCAAAGCCTTAGGGTCATCTGTAAGTCCTTCACTGCATGATGTTTCTAAAAAGCCTTCGGGAGCTTTTTGATGTTTTCAAAGCCTTAGGGTCATCTGTAAGTGCTACAGTGCATGATGTTTCCAAAAAGCCTTCGGGAGCTTTTTGATGTTTTCAAAACCTTAGGGTCATCTGTAAGTCCTTCAGTGCCTGATGTTTCCAAAAAACCTTCGGGAGCTTTTTGATGTTTTCAAAGCCTTAGGGTCATCTGTAAGTCCTTCAGTGCATGATGTTTCCAAAAAGCCTTCGGGAGCTTTTTGATGTTTTCAAAACCTTAGGGTCATCTGTAAGTCCTTCAGTGCATGATGTTTCCAAAAAGCCTTCAGGAGCTTTTTGATGTTTTTAAAGCCTTAGGGTCATCTGTAAGTCCTTCGGTGCATGATGTTTCCAAAAAGCCTTCGGGAGCTTTTTGATGTTTTCAAAGCCTTAGGGTCATCTGTAAGTCCTACAGTGCATGATGTTTCCAAAAAGCCTTCGGGAGCTTTTTGATGTTTTCAAAGCCTTAGGGTCATCTGTAAGTCCTACAGTGCATGATGTTTCCAAAAAGCCTTCGGGAGCTTTTTGATGTTTTCAAAGCCTTAGGGTCATCTGTAAGTCCTTTAGTGCATGATGTTTCCAAAAAGCCTTCGGGAGCTTTTTGATGTTTTCAAAACCTTAGGGTCATCTGTAAGCCCTTTAGTGCATGATGTTTTCAATATTTCCATATTACTTAAAATAAGCCGAATGAAAAATTATTGTCTTTTTCGTCTTTGTTCTATTCTTGTTAACACAAGAATGAGCAAAGAGGGGCAGCTGTAGACATTAATTTTTCACTTTCATTAAAATTAAAATTATTAATTTTTTATTATTATTAATATATATTATTATTATTATTATTATATAAATAAATTACAAAACTGGAGGCCCGTTTACAAGCCCAAATCCCAGGCCCAACCAGAACCGGCCCAGACCCAAATGGAAACCCTGAACTGATTTAGGGTTTTAGCTAGGGTTTTCAAATCCTAGCTCCCAGCCGTTACTTCCAGTGAGCCCCAGCCGCCTCCAAGATTCCAGAACATTCACGAGGCGTCACCTCCACATCCAGCCATCGTTGTTGACGATTCCACTGCCAGTTGCCCCCCACACGTCGCGGCTATGGGGTGAGTCACCACATAGCTCGATGACTCACCGAACTTCCCCCTCTGGACCGGTCCGAGCATGGCTCTGTGGTGGCTATAAAAGCCACCGGATCTTGCAAAACAGACAAGAAGACAGAGAGCAACAAAAAAACAGAAACGAGAGGAAAAAAACGAAAAAAAAAACTACCAACGATCCTAGTCAACGACGAACCAATATAAAAAAAAGGAAAAGAGAAGAGAAGAGAGGAAAGAAACTTACTGTGTCATTGGAGAAACCCAACCGTCACCGGAAACAATGAAAACCCGAAGGTATTTTCATAGATTTGCTCTGATCAGGAGCTTTTTAAGAAAAACGGTCACCAGAACCGTCATTAGGACGGTCCGATCTACGTTTTGGTAAAAAAATAAAAATTTCCAGCCATCGGATGCGGTGGCCGACGGTGAGGACGGTGGAGGCAGATGGCTGCCGGCCTATAACCGGCTTCCCTCCGGTGAGGGATGCTAGAGAGAGGCCAGAGAGAACTCTGGTTCTCTTATTTGAGAGAGAGAAGAGAGAAAGAAAAATGAGAGAGCTGGCCCTTCGGGCCAGCCGTTTGGGCCATTTATACCCCTTCCCAAACGACGTCGTTTTGGGAGGGGTATATCTGTAATTTCGCGCATGGTCAAACCCTTTCCGCAGCCATCCGAGTTTTGTAATTATTCATTTTAGTCACTGAAACTAACTTCTGAACGTTCTAATTCAGTCTTCGAATTTTATTATGTTTTAGTCCTTACCGGAATTTTATATATATATTAGAGTAAATACCCATTTTAGTCCCTCATAGTTTAATTAATATTTATCTTAATCACCTATTAATTAATTAGTTTAAATTACACTATTAGTAATTATATTTTTTATGCCCTTTAATTTTGATATTTTACTTTTTAGTCAACAATATTTTGTTTCTTTTCATTTTTGACCCTGATTTTTTTTATATTTTGTAAATTAATATTATTACTTTTTAATAATTATTTATTTATTATTTTGTTATTACTTTTATATTATTTTATTATTATTTTCATATTAGTCACATAAATATATATATTTTTAATCTTTATTTATTTTCAATATCAAAGAAAAGGACAGTCTTAATATAACTGGATGTCCTATTCTGGTATTTTAAATAATTAAATATTATAAAAATTATAATATAGTTTTATTTAAATTATTTTTAGGATAAATTATTACATATTTTAATATTTATTTATTTATCAATATTGAAGGAAAGAGTTGTCTTAAAGCAACTAGAAACCATTTTCTAATACTTTTAAATAAATAAATATCTTACAATATTAAAATATTTTTTTATTTTTTTTAATATCAAAAGAAAGAGCTGTCTTAAAGCACCTAGAAGCCATTTTCTGATATGTTATTATATATATATATATATATTCTTTCAATTATATTAATAAATTTTAAATAACAGGATTATAAATTAAATATATCTTTGAATTTTTAATTTCTAATAATAGAGACAATTTATAATTAATAAGTACCAAATTTGGGCGTTGTAGGGGTGTTAATCCTTCCCTAAACGTAATCGACCATGAATCCTTTTTTATTTCTAAAAAGAATGAATTTTTGGTTAAAACGCAGATCAGTTTATCTTTTAACCGATGTTTTTCTTAAAAACTCTTTTAAAAGATAATTTTTAGATATTCGACCTACCTGACTCAAAAGGCCGATGGCGACTCCCAAAAATATTTTAAAAATCATTTATTTACATCACTTTTCCCGTCAAGTAAAATTTTCGTGCCCGGACGAAAATCGGTTACGACAAGAAGCACGAGGAAAAGAAATAGAATATCAACTCTTACCGTTAAGAAAGCGCTGATCAATCATCTTCAACTGAAATTATATTGCCATCCAAACTTATACGATAAGCATGAGTAATCTTGGGCCAATCCACTCCAACTTTTTGTTTGCATCTTTCACTTAAAAGAGGACAACCTTCAATATGCAATCGTTTGAGGCGTTGCATGCCTTCTGGCAGACTTGATAATCGTGGGCAACGTGTTCCACTCCGGTGACGCTTTGAGGTTCACACAGGCTTTAATCATCAGATACTTTAAAGTGTTGGCAGATCGCCGTAGAAGCCAATGGGGTAGAGTCTCAATCTTTGGCAAATTTGTAGTTTCCAATGATTGTGGCTGAAACCTTGATAATCATTGCCTTCCTTCTCTTTGAATCTATGTGGCTCACTCAAAACAAGCTTCTCACAAATCCCAATAACTAGAGTTTGCAATGCAGTAAGATTATTCAAACCATGTGGGAGTGATACCAAGTTCTTGCAACTGGCAACACCCAATGTATGGAGAGATGTGAGGTTTTGAATCCCTTCAAATAAATATTCTAGATTATCACAGCCCCATATGATCAAGAATTGAAGAGATTTCAAGTGTTCTAATCCATGGCCACTAAGATCACGTTGCTTTGTAGTTAATGATAAAAATATGAGACTGGTCATCTTCCTCATATCCTTTGGTAGCTCTTCAATTTGATCACATCCAGCAAAACCCAGACTGAGCAAATTCTGCAACTCACAAATGGAGTTGGGGAGTTTCTTGATGTGGAGAGAGTCACAAAGGTTGAGATACCTTAAAAGCTTCAAGTTACCAATCCATTTGGGCAACACATCGAAAGTAGACCCAAAAAGATCAAGCACCCGCAAACTTTGAAATCTCTCGAGGCAATTTTCATCCAAGAATTTGCTGGTTACTCTCTTTCTCATATTGGGAAACCTAAGTGTACGCACATGTCCTAATTTACCAAGGAAATCGGAAGCACTTTCGTCAGAGGAATCGGAGTCTATAAGGCACACATGCCGAACACTTGGGGCAATCTTTTGCTTGAAAGAGTTCACCAAACAACAGTCGTTCTTTGCTACCAATAACGTCAGATCATGTAAAAGATCATGCATTTTGAATACACCATAAAGAAATGCCACATTAAAATCTTCCAAAAGAGATCGTGCCAACAGGTCGTTCAAATACTGCCTTCCAATATCAAAGGGATTTTCATTTTCATACGATGATTCAAGCAGACCTTGAGCCATCCAAAACGAGATTAAACCAAACTCAATAAATTCATAGTCTTTGGGAAAGAGTGAGCAATAAGCAAAACATTGCTTCAACCGAGGAGACAGTTGATCATAACTTAGTTTCAGAACATAAACTATTTCGTCATCTTTCTCCATTAATTTCCAAGTCTCACTATTCTTCACAAGTTCCCACTCCCGCTCTGATGTTTTGGAGAAAAGCATACTCCCCAAGGTCTTCAGTAGCAGTGGAACCCCTTTGCATTTCTCGACAATTTGCTCCCCAATTTCCACAAGGTTTGGATGTCGTTTCTCTTCCCCTTTCTTGAAAGCAAACTTGAGAAACAAAGATAAAGATTCGTAGGAAGGAAGAGCTTTCAATTTGTGAGGGGAGACTGTACCTGTGATCTTTGCTACTTTATTGCTTCGAGTGGTAACAAGAATTCTGCTTCCGGTAGCTTCTCCGGGTAATAACTGTTTCAGTTCAACCCACTTCTTGTTATCATCATTCAAGACATCATCTAAAATAAGCAAATACCTTTTACCATTCAAGCACTCTCGCAAGGCCGCCCGTAATTGTTGAAAATTCATGCTTCCAAGGTCTCCATCACCACCCTTTTCGGCTTTAATGGCTTTAAGGACTTTGAGCACTACTTGTTGAACATCAAAATCTTCGGAAACGAACACCCAGAGTTTAAACTCAAAGTGATTATGCACACTTATATCATTGAAAACCAGTTTGGCAAGAGCAGTTTTCCTCAGACCTCCTAATCCAACTATGGCAAGGACGGGTATGTCTTCATCACCAGCTGGAACATCTTGCGTTAACATATTCACAATTTTTTTTTCTCATCATTTCTTCCAATTACCTCCGATTCTTGCACTAAGGAGTGGGTCTCCCTGTCGAAGCGCCGGTCATGCCTTGGGTAATCATGTATCTCAGTGAGATGAAATCTATTTTTCAACTCACCAAGATCATGGAAGGTCTGTTGGAGTTCTTTTATCTTGTGAGCCATTTTAACACTGAAAGCAGGTGAGTATAAAATCGAACGGAAATAGCCTACCTTCTGTCCGATGCTACTCCCTTTCCGAACTTGCTTCCTCAGTGCTTCAAACTTAAATTCATCCAATACATCTTCTGTGTCGTAACAGGCGTCCCTCAGCCTTTGTAGCCAAACCCGGAGTTCATGTTGATGAGCCTGTTTCTCTTCAGCATCTAAAAGCACCGCTTTGATTGTGGTTAACGTGTGTTCAATCTTTTGAAGTTCCCCCCGAACACCACAAGCTAGGATAATTTCTGCAAGAGCAAGCTCGCATAGTTTCGAAATGGTATTTTCTACAACTTTAAATACAAAGGATCCGGCCATGATTTAGACAAGAAAAAGAGGAATATTTGCGGGAAACACAGATAAATGCAGTCAAACTTGTGATTTAGGTTATGTGTGGAGCTTGGGGTTAGGGTAGTGGAGCAATTTTTTTTTTTGGGGAACGTGTTGCTTTCAACGCAAATAATATAATAATGTTATAATTAAGACATGATTATAAATTTAGTACAACAATTATTATTATTTTCTCTCTAACCATATGGACAACTTCAATATTAATTTTATTCAGTTCCAATAAACTAGCCTCTCACTAATTTCAAACCAGTAACATCAGGCCCAACCTTCCTCAGATCTTCCTCCCCCAGATTCTCGAAATATTACCAATAAACAATCGATGCTGAGTGAGTGAGAAGACCAAACATAAGAACAAATAGAAAACTTGTCACCTTTCATTGATGGCTCTATTGGCCAATTATACGCTTCTAAGTCACAAAAGCATTGAGCTTGTTTTCACTTGAATATTTCATCTTTCATAATCTGAACCAACCATCATAAAGTAGGATGCATCAGCATTAATATCAAATAGGGAAAATTCTGAATGATAATTAAGAGGCCTATGAAGTTGTGCAATTAATCAAGGGACAAACTTACTCAAAATCGAAAAAAGAGTCGAATTAAAAACGTAATGGGTTAGAGTTATGACTGAATTTCTTCCTAGACGAGGTCATGAAGTTACAATCAAAACAATAGAAAACAATGATGTGGTTAGTGATAAGATAGCAGTTTAGCTATCTAAGAAACAAGAAATGAACTGAAATCTTTGTAATTCTTTATTAATGAAAAGCTGATCTCTCATGAGTTAGAGAGTAGCTATTTATACAAGCAAGAAGAAAAAATGCAACTGTTGTGCAGCAAGCCGTTAACAACTTAACTGCTCATAACAAGAAGCTAACAAACTGTTCCAGAACTATTCTAGAATTTACAGCACATGCTCGTATACATAACACTAACATTCGCCATGCTTCATTAACCTCTTCAGTATTTGTTTCAGCACTAGTAGCTTCATTAACATTCACCCTGCTTCATTAACCTCTTAGCTGTGTTACCAAGAGTTTTTGTTTGTGCTTGAGAAACGAAGAAGAGGATATTGGCTTTGTCAAAACATCTGCCACCTGCTCATAAGCAGGAATCTCATTGACCTGTAAATGACCATCAGCAACCTTTTCTCGTACAAAAAATAAGTCAAGCTCAACATGCTTGAACTTAGAATGCTGAACAGGATTGGCACAGACTGCAACAGTGCTGGAATTATCACACCACAATGTAGCTTTACCATGTGGAACCACACACAATTCCTGAAGCAACGACTCAATCCAAACAATGTCAGCAGCTGCAGAAGCAACACTCCTATATTCAGCCTCAGCCGTGGAACGAGAAACAACTTGCTGCTTGCGTGAGCTCCAGGAGATGAGATTTCCACCAAAGAAAATGCAGTAGCCAGTCGTGGAACGCCTATCATCAGGATCAGACCCCTAGTCTGCATCAGCAAAACCATTCAGAGACATGCGAGGAGATGCTGTAAAACAAAGACCATAATCAGTCGTTCCTTGAAGATAACGTAAAATCCTCTTAACAGCCTGAAAATGACTATTGCGAGGTGACTGCATGAACTGACAAACTTTGTTTACTGCAAAAGCAATGTCTGGCCGAGTGACTACTATGTACTGGAGAGCTCCTACAATGCTTCTATATTGAGTTGCATCTTCAATGGGATCACCAGCATCAACCGATAACTTGCAATTGGAGACCATGGGAGTAGGAAGGCTCTTGACATCACCAAAACCATGCTTATGCAATAGCTCACGAATATATTTTCATTGAGTTAAAACCAGACCATTATCATCAGAACACACCTCAATGCCAAGAAAAAAAACTGAGAGAGCCAAGATCTTTTAAAGAAAACTGAGCATGCAACCTTTCAATAACACATTACACCTCACCAGCCTTACTTCCTGTCACAATAATGTCATCAACATATACTAGCATGTAAAGAACACTGCTAGCATATTTTCGAATAAACAGAGATGAATCGGATTTAGACAACACAAACTGCTCAGAAACAAGATATTCTCGAACACTGTCGGCCCGAGGAGCCTGTTTTAAACCATAAATTGCTTTATGCAGTTTGCAAACCAGTTGACTGCCACCTTGAACAAACCCAGGGGGCTGAGCCATGTAAACATCTTCCAACAACAACCCATTTAAAAAGGCATTGTTTATATCTACTTGTTGCAATGACCATCCTCTTGTCAAGGTAAGAGTGAGTATCACTCGCACAGTTATAGGCTTTACAACTGGACTGAAAACTTCATGAAAATCAATCCCTGGCTGTTGAAGAAAGCCCTTTGCCAAAAGACGCGCCTTGTACCGAGACACCGATCCATCAGCGTTGCGTTTTACCTTAAAAATCGACTTGCAATTGACAGGTACACGATTCTCAGGAAGAGAGACAAGAGACCAAGTCTTATTGGCAACCAAAGCAACATATTCTTCTTGAGCAGCTTTCTTCCAATGAGGAATCTTCACATCTTCCTTAATAGACCAAGGTTCTTCATCAAAACATTCAACGTGTAAGACACGGGGTTTTTGAATACCGTCTTTGGCCCTGGTAACCATAGGATGTATATTTTGAACCAGTGAATGAGACTCAGGCCCTTCATTCACTTGAGGTGACAGATCATTTGCACAAGGAGCAACTAATCCACCAGAAGAACGAGGAGATATTTCACATGCAGTAAAATCAGCTCCATGTACATTGTCACGTTCAACTATCTCTCCAAAGGGGTTGACCCCATGCGCATTGTCACGGTCGACCATTGCTTCAAAAGGAATGGCCCCATGCGCAATATCAAGATTAGATGGCACATTGTCAAATGGTACGGTCCCAAGACTAACATCACGCTCACCTACCCCAGCAATATTATAATCGGGTGAGCCTTCATGCGCATTACCAAATTCATGCATATTCAACACTTGGTCCTCCATGATGGGAATCACAACATGTGCATTAGAGTTGGACGAAATGGCCATCATGTCACGCACATTATAATTAGGTGTAGTGGTCCCAATTCTTTCATGCGTTTGGCTATTCACATGCATTGGTGAAATGTGCGTCAATGGAGAGGCACAATTTGGCATATTTTCAAAAGAATGGCCCCATGCGCACCTGCTGGCATATTTTCAAACGAGAGGGCACCACGTGCATCACCAAATTCACGCACATCTTGGTCCTCGATCATGGAAAGAGATGTGGTCCCAACGTCTTGACACCCATGCGCATTATGCCTTTGATTATGCGTTGATGAAGGAGCACATTGGTTGTTCTCACTTGGTGGAAGAGACATTGCACTCAATGGAACATGCATTGTCTGTACAGGGGAGACAAGAGGAATAACACCCGTGGAGACACCATTTTCTGGAGTAATATTTTAAATATTACACACTGCATAAGAAAAGGCACTTTCATCAAATACAACGTGCCTCGAAATTATTACTCTGCCAGATTCATCGAGACATTTATACCCCTTATGAGTAGTGCTATATCCTAAAAATACACACTTCTTTGACCTGAAATCCAGCTTATGATGATTAAATAAACGCAAGCAAGGATAGCAAGCACAACCAAACACCCTGAGAAAAGAATAATCTGGCAAGACATGATGTAGAGCTTCAAAAGGAGACTTTCCATGCAAAACAGGTGTGGGTAACCGATTGATAAGATAAACAGCAGACACAAAAGCATAACTCCAAAATTTCTGAGGTAAGGAAGCCTGAGCTAACATTGTCAATCCTATTTCAACAATGTGCCTATGCTTTCTCTCAGCCTTACCATTCTGTTCCAAGGTGCCAGGGCATGAGAGATGATGTTGTACTCCATTTGCACAGAACCATTTTCGAAGTGGTTGATACTCCCTACCACCATAAGTCTGGAGGGCTTTAATTTTGTATCCAAACTGTACTTCAATCAATTTCACAAAGTCAAGAAAGCACTGAGCCACCTCAGATTTACGTTTCAAGAGGTACATCCAGGTATAACGACTACAAACATCAACAAAAGAAACATAATAAAGAAATCCGTCAGTGGAGCATACAGGAGCTGGTCCCCAGATATCAGAGACAACAAGTTGAAAAGGCTCGTTATATTCTGTCAATGATTTACAAAAGGGCAACTTATGCGATTTCCCTTGCATACAAGCATAACATATACTCAGCTCATCTTTTTCATTGGAAACAATACTACAAGACTTCATAACAAGTCGAACTGTATCAATCGAGGGGTGGCCAAGACGCTGATGCCACAAATTCAAAGAAGTTGTGGATTTTGAAACATTATTCACCAGGTCAGATGAACCTTGGTTCTTACAAGGCAAGAGCTGATAGAGTCCATCATCCGTGAGCCTCCCACGAAGCAGAACCACTTGAGTCTGAGCATCCTTCACAAGACAT